GAGAAAAAATATACTAAGGGCTTGGGAGGATCTAATTGTTAGAAAGTGTGATGTTTTAAAAAGGAAAATGAATGACTAAATGTATACGCAGTTACAGACGTTCAAAGGGACTTCATTACGTTTACTCTCTGGATCAGGCAAATGACTATCAAAATTTCGGCATTCAGGATGACACTTGTAACATGTGTCCATTGAAATTAAAAGTTGAGGAAGAATTAGGTTTGGGGATTCCTAATTTTAAGACGTTCAATGCTGACTCAAGCTGCATTGAGTGGGGCACACTCTCCAGCCGTCTCCCCAGAAAACTGCAAAATGCCTGCAAAGGGCAGCCCGAAACCTCCCTCGCTCTCAGCAGCTTTCCAAAAGGGCCATTTTCCCCTTCAGCCCCAGCTGACCAAGGGCTCCCAACTCCCTGACCGGTGAGTCCATTTGGAGTCCAGGACTCTGTCTATCTGACAACCCACCATCTGGACCCATCTGCTCACGACGTCACTCACGTAAGCTGCTTACTTGGCCCCTATTTGTGGGATCCCAGCCTGGTTCAACAGCCATCTGAAAACCACAGGCTGAGCTCAAGCAGGAGAGCAAACAGGGCAGCAGCTTGAGGTGCAGGGAAGAGGGGTGGCCGGCAGTCCCTCCCACTGACTATGGCCTCCTTGTGGAGAGGGCAGTGTTTTTGACCTTCCTGGTGCTTTTCACAGGAGCCAGTACAGGTTTTTTTGTTTTTGTTTTTAGATTTATGTATTTACTTATGCATAAAACAGTTAGGGTCTAGGGCAGAGGTACAGAGGTACAGAGGATTCAGCAGAGACAGAGTGGGGTCAGAGGCAGACTGACTAAAACACCGCTCAGGGGAGCAGCAGGTGAGACAAGAGAGGTCTGCTGCGCCCTGTGTGTCCCTCGCCGGGGATCGAACTCAAGCTGCAGTGGCTGGCAATAGCTTGACAGTGCTGAGATGTAACCCCTGCACCCTGCCAGTACCACCTTAAAGCAGAACTGGGCTAGGCATAAGTCAACAAGGTGAGGTAGCAAGGAGCCAGCAAGCATCCCCGCCCTGGATCAGATGTAGTTTCAAGAGAGAGGCGTCAGCCTAGGGACACACACACCTGCGCCTCCAGCCCACCTCCGCCATTTACCTGCTATGTGTTCTGTAGCGCTTCACTAACTCTTTCAGACATGCAGGTTCTTGTCTTTACGAGTGGGAGAAATGCACTTCTTTATCAATTCAATGAATTAACTTAATTCACCTTTAAATGAATTAATGAGATGATGTACACATGCAGCAGCTAGCCCAAGTCCAGCCACACCTGCACAGCGGCGACCAACCTGGACGTCTGAGTCTACAAATCTACTCTGCGGATCTACAGACCTCACAGTGTTCGGGCAGATCGTCAGAAGGCGGCTCGGTGGGCAGGATTTGCCACTCACTCACGGCCAACGCATCTCCACGGGCAATGCCCACTTTGAGCCAGGAGAAGGGGGGCGTCCAGAACACCCCAGACCAACCAAAGCAGCCCTGGGATCCCCTCCGTCCTGTCCACCCTGGTCTCTTTAACCAAAGCACTGACAGTCCTGGAGACCCTCCCCCTCACACGTACCAGCTTTCCCCCAGTGCCCTGTGACCTGTGACACCAGCAGCACCTGCTGGAGGGGACCGAGGGAGGGCGCTGGTCCAGTCCTTAGAGGTGGCTGCTGTCTCAGCCTGGCTCCCCACACTGCAAGCACAGCACACCCTCAGCTGCGCTCCTATCTGAAGTGTGACGGGCGCGGGGAGGCGAGAACCACTAGTGACAGCGGCGGGGCAGGGAGAAGCGTCTGTTCCCACCCAGCCTCCAGCTCTGGGAATTTACATCCATCATAGACACCAGTGTGGGGCCAGTCACCCCTGGGCAGGCTACTGCAGGTTGCAGGAGGTGGGAGAATGCGGCCTGGAGGAGGCGGTTGGGACAGACAGATGAGAAGCACCATGAGCCTAGAAGTCTGTGCAAAGTGCTGCCAGCACAGCGCTGGCTCCAGAGAGGCCCTGAGTAAGCGCAGGCACCTGCACCCCCCAGTCCTCGATTGAGTCCGCTATTAGAAACAGAAACCCAAAGGGTGTTTTGCTGTCTCCAACCAAACAGCCCAGCTTGGGTAGAAAAGTGGTTTTAGCAGAGTCTTAGGAGTAGCTGTGACTGACCAAAGGAATCCCCTGGGGAAACTGAGGGCCTGGGGAAGCAGGGTGCTTTCTGCTCTGAGGGCCCAGTGCCCAGGAGGGGAGCTGGGAGAGCTGCAGCATGGCCCAAGGGGTAAGGTTTGCTCAGCAGGAGGGAAGGTGCCTCCTGCTAGGGTGGGGGGAGGGAATCGGGAAGCAGAAGCCTGGGGCAGCTCCAGATGGCAGAGGCCTGGGAACAAAAGGAGGAGAGTCAGGGAGAAGGCGGCAGAGAAGGCGGGCTTGCCCCTGGGGCTTCCTAGAAAAATCAGATTCACACTTGGAACCTGGCCGGAGGCTTGCTCAGAAAGAGCCATGCTGTTTCTGCATGACTCCGGTGCTTCGGACCGGCAGTGAGCGACCCCGAAACACACGGGAGCCTGGCCCAAGGGTCATGAGGCTGGCTGAATCCTGGCTTCCACACTGGGCTTTGAATTTGGGAGCCGACACCTTCCTACCATGGGCCTGACTTCCCTTATCTTCTCTGCATGTCTGTCACCCGTAGAATGGGGGTCACACACGTGGCTGTGAGGTCACGCTAGGAGACTCAGGGTGAGCGCAGTGCCCGGCTGGCTGTGATCATCGTAAGGACGGGGGCTATGGCCAGCTAGAGACTGGCTACGCCCTCGAGAGCACCTGTCGCGTATCTGGTGTCCTTTTTCTTTTTGTCTCTGAGTGTCTAAGGGCCTCTGGACCGTTCCTGATGTGGGGGTGACTTAGACTGGAGGAGGCAGCATGGTGTCCCACAAGGAAAACAGCCCACAATGCAAGACACAAAAGCGTGGACTCTACCACCAAGAGAGGCCTCGGTTCTCAGCCCGGCCACACGGGAGGCTGACACCTCTCTCGTTCATATCCAGAAAGCCGCTTGAGAAAATGAACATAAACGGACACACTTATAACCAAGCCCTGAACCTAAGCGGGGGTAAGCCTGTGAGTGTCCCCAAGCGCAGACTAGAATGCTGCAGCAGACAGGAGGCAGCAGGGCGGGACTCGGCCTCAGCCTGGTGTCCCCTGGGCAGCAACACTGTCACCATCAGAGACTCAAGCTGCTTGGGAGGACTGTGAGGGAATTGGGGGCATAGGATGGAAAGCAGAGAGGGTATAAGAAACAGTAACAAAAGAGGGGGGACAGTGACAAAGTTGGGACAATTCCTAATTCTGTCACCACCCCGGCAATCTGTCCCCATGCCACTTTATATTACCATCAAAGGAAGCTGGGGCCCTCCCTGGTGGTGCAACGGGATAGGACGCAGCACTGCAAGCTGGCCACAGTTGCTGCAGTGCAAGTTTGACCCCCGGCCCCGGAGGTGACCCACATGGCGCGGCAGACCTCTCCTGGCCCGCCCGCTGCTCCCCTCAGCAGTGGACTTCGTCAATCTGCCTGTTCTGCCCTCTACTGTCTGGTGAATCCTCCCACCACCCCCTACCCCGCATCTCTGGCCTGTACCCCAATTCTGTATGCATAAATAAATGAATCTTAGAAAAAAAGAAAAGGAAGCTAGTAAGCTAGAGTTCCCACAGTACAGCAGGTCTTTGAATAAACTTCCTCCATCATTATGTTGTAATGTTGGTGTGAAGACCCAGCCTTGGTCCACACTGGAACTGCTTCCTCTGAGGACTGAGCGTGTCATACATCACTTCACCTAAAGCCACTGCTTCCAAGAACCAATCGACTCCATTAAGTATGAAAGCAGTGTCAGCATGTTCAAGTTCAGTATCTGGTACCAGTGACAGGGCTGGGGGGAAGGCGTGGTCAGGAGGATCTCCCAGGTGCTCCCTGGAGCCTGACACAAGCGGCAGCCTCAAGAACTGACAAAGGAATCCGCATTGCAGTGATAAGTGCACCTGAGCTGTGCTGACGGAGCCCAAATAAGAACTGTGGTTCACTGATCGATTATACGCTGGGCTTGTTTAACCTTCAATCCTTGCAACAAGATACTCATCATTATTCCCATGCACAACCAGGAAAGTGAGGTCCAGAGCAGTTACTAACTGCTGTTAGTGGAGCTGTTTGTGGTCAGGAGCCCAAATCCATGCAACAGGGTACTCTGCTCCCACCTTCCTGCCTCTCTTCTAGGTACCCCCACCCCTCTGACTCTGGGAGGACAGCAGACATCTGGGGAAGGAGGTGGGGGTGGAAAACAAACGACAAGCAGCAGGTGCTCACGCTCAGGAAAGAGGCAGCCTTTCTCTGCTTGGCCTCTGGCTCAGACTCCCCCACTGGGCAGCGTCCAGCCTTGGTGCCTGCCAGTTCATCGTCTGTTCAAAGTGTGGCCCTGACTTCTTGCCTGTCCTTACCTACCACCTCTGGTCTGAAAATAAAACAACAGTTGCTGGCGACAGCAAGGAATTTTCATCCAGAATGGAACAATGCAGGCCCTGGACACAGGCCATGGATTCAGAGTTGTCCATCTGCCAGCGCCCATATGCCCCACCCAAAGGAGGGGGTCCTTGGACTGCCCCCCATATGCCAGGGCTGTCACTCAGGAGGCTCCCACATTGTGGAGGCCAGACTAAGTGGGGAACACAGGTCATGAACAAGACTGTCTCCTCCCAATTTTTCAATTAAGGTGGACAGTTGGGACAATGGGCAGCTGAAGCTGACTAACTGCTTCTGCTGGAGACGGGGTCACGCTTCTTCAGCATCAGACTCCCTGCCAAGGGGAATCTGAGGTTTGACTCTGGCTGACTGGGGTCAAGATGACTCCTCAGAAAATTCTGGGGGCTAAAGAAACTTCTCTCATCAAAGCAAAGGGGTGGCAAGATTCCCGCCCAGCCCCCCAAGGACCCAGGTCCCAGCCCCACTCACCGTCTCTGCTTCATTCAGCCTCCTTCTTGCAACACTAGACAAAGCTCCCCTCCAGTCCACAGTGGGAAGGAAAACTCCAGTGTCCCAAATTGCACATAAGTCAATCAACCTGTTTCAATGCAAGCACAAAGATGAACACCAGGGTCACTCCAGAAAGGAGAAAAAAAAAAAGGCTTTGTGGTTTGCAGCTTGTTCATTCACTGGGGAAATTACATCTCTGTCCACACCCATTTGGAAAGTTTTATATAGCATAACAGCATCTTAGTCCAAAGTTCAGAACAGTTCAAGAACTGAGGCAGAAGCTGCAAGAGGCTTAAATATTTGGGGGGTGGGAGGAGAAGGTCATCTCTCTCATCCAGAGATCATTACTAGTGCCCTGACACCATAATCTAATTGCTGATTCCCTATTCACCTAAAGGAGTTAAGCCATATCTCAAAGAATCTCTCCTTTACCCAAGGGAGAGTTTACATATAATTATCTCATTAATTTTCTTCACTTACTTAGGAGAATTACCATGTTTTTCTTTCCCACTTAGAGATAATCAAACTGAGTTCAACATAAATGAATCTATAAAGCATTGGAAGGAGATTCAACTTTAGGGCCTGGGGACATGGGCTTTTAAGTTCTGTGTCATCAAAGGTGGGTCACTTTTCTGCTTGTGCCTCAGTTTTCTAGTCTGTAAAATGGGGTGAAGGTACAGGAGAGTGGCCAAGTTGGCATTTTACAAGTTCAAATCCCAACTCCAGTCCTTTTTGGGAAATCATTTAGCCATTCTCAGCACAGAGAACCTACTTCACTGGATCATTTGCTTTACCACTCCTCAAAGTGTGCCTAAAGGGGATGATAAAGGCCACCTTTGCAGAAAGGAATGTGACAATAGCTGTCAAAATAAGCCAGCATGTACTCTTTGACCCAGCAATCCCAGTTCTAGGAATTGAAACAAAATATATCCTGTATTCCCTTGCTGTGGTCTCTGAGACTATTGTTATGTGAAAAAAGCATGCTAGGAAAACATGTGTTTGCTATGCTATAATTTATTTAAGAAATAAATGGAGGAATGCAAAGATATACAAGTATTCACTTATGGTTTTTGAAAAGTAAAAGCACAAGGCGAAATTTTAGAGGCCTTTTGGGAGGGAGGGATAGCAGGAATGGGAGGGGATGGGCTGAAAAATGTATTTTGAGTGTGACTTGTTTTACAGGTTTGCTTTGGAACATGGAAATGTCTAACATAATTATAAGACAATATTTTCAAAAGAAATCCTTGAAATGAAAATAACATGCAACACATGTTTCAGTGTCCAAGTGGTTGGCAAAATTACACAGAGGATCAAAACAAAGTGATTTGACTGTATATCCTTGGAGGGATTTTATTTAAAAAAAGTCCTCCCCCCCAAAAAAGCTCAACTTACTGTTTTCAATAATCATATTATTATTCTGAGATTTTTACATCTTTACTGTGGGATAAATCAAGTGAGAAATAATGCTGGTATTGCTGAGAAACAAGATTTTCTTGTTGAAAGGAGCTATAAATGTTAAGCTTAATAAGATAGGCAAAATTCTACTACCCTGATTATGAACTGGGGAACAGGAGGAACTCCATATGTTTTCTCTCTCTTTCTCTTATACACACAGACACACACACACACACACACACAGACACACACACACACACATACACACACTAGCTGTGTTTACTGAAAGGCCCAGAAACAGGGACCTTCCTAGGAATGAACACCCCCAGCAATCAGATTATGAACTCTAAGTACCAGCTCTCCCAAAGAAATCAGTTTTCCTTGGAGAAATGCCCCATACAGCGAGCATACAAGCTTCACACGTACAGAACATCTCATCAAATGAGAAAAATACATGAACATCAAATAGTCAAGCCAGAAGGACTCAGAAGCCGAACAGGGAAGGCTTCCCCGGCCCAGCAGAACATCACCAAGGATCATAACTGCATCGATTCAAACAGAAAATATGTTGTAGATCTGCAAATCCCTAATAACCCCAAATAACTCCTCTGTCACCTTTAAGAATGTTGGGGAGGCTCTCCTTGGTGGCACAACAGGTTAAAGCATAATACTATGAAGCTCTCAGAAGCCAGTGCAGCATGAGTTTGATCCCCAGCCAGGGAGCTGACCCACATGGTGCAGCATGGAAAGACCTCTCCTTTCCTGCCCGCTGCTCCCCTCAGCAGTGTATTTCAGTATATCTGCCTGTTCTGCTCCCCACTCTGTCTCTTCTGTCTCTGGTGAATCCTCTCACCTACCACACCTCTAGCCTGTACCCCAGCATAAATAAATAGAACATTAAAAAAAAAGAACGCTGGGGAAACACTTCACTAACTTGAATACTGGTCAATAAAGCAATAGGAGGACAGGGATGGTGCAGCCTTGTGCTGGTACCTGTGGGAGAGTGAAGGACATGCCAGGTGCATTAAGTTATTTCCCTTTGTACCTGAAACATTTTCAAAATAAATTCCTAAATGGCAGTAGAGATGGAGAATTAGCCTGCTAATTCTTGAAACGCTTTTAAACTATAGGCATTTAATCCCCACAATAAAGGATATACATATTACTCATATTTTTCCATCAGGGGAAACAGGTGTGAAGACCCCACTGAATCAGGACGAAAGCCCACATGTTCTTATCCCAAAGGCGCACTATTTAACAGCTGCCACTACACTCTCCCCACTTGTATGTTTAAGTTAATAAAAATGCCCTTGCCGGCCCTCCCTGGTGGTGCAGCGGGTTAAAGCACAGCACTAAGAAGCTTAAGCCACTTCTGCATGAGTTCGATCCCCGCCTGCCCCGGAGGTGACCACATGGCGTGGCAGACCTCTCCTGACCTGCCCGCTGCTCCCCTCAGCAGTGTACTTCGTCGATCTGCCTGTTCTGCTCCCCACTCTGTCTCTGGTGAAGCCTCTCACCGCCCCTGAGCCTGTGGCCTGTACCCCAGTTCTGTATGCACAAATAAATAAATCTTAAAAAAAAATGCCCTTGCCTATCTCAGAGTATTGAAAGGCTGCAATGAGATCAAGTATGGGAAAGTACAACTCTTTGCACTAATATTTTACTATAATCTGAAAACTGGGGATCGGATCGGCCTTCTGGGGTTGCTGTCAGGGTCATATGAAACCTGTGATTTGAAGAGAGATGGACAGAGATAAAGACAGAACAACCAGGTGGCACAAGGGGTTTTTGCAGCACCAGGAAGCTACTGCAGCCCCTGCAGCACAAGTTCAACCCTGGCCAGGGAGCTGACCCACATAGCGCAGCAGACCTCTCCTGTCTTACCCACTGCTCCTCTCAGCAGTGTTCCCCACTCTGTCTCTGGTGGACCCTCTTACCCCCTGCACCTCTGAGATATACCCCAGTATTTGTATACATAAATAAAATAAAATCTTTTTTAAAAAAAAAGACCCAACAACCACTACCGATGAGTGAGGTAATAATTACCACCAAGGCTTTTATACATCACTCACAGGACTTCACATTAGAAAAGGGAGACTCGAAACGTAGGAGACAGACTCACCACCTGACCCAGGCTGGGAAAGCTGCAGGAAGGACACTCAGGCTCTGGGGAGGAACAGGGATCAAGGCGGACACCTGATACCCCATAGAGCGAGTGTCAGACAGATAGGAACTTTGGCCAAGTGGCTGGGGGCCTCGGTGCTGCCTCCCGGCGCCAGCAGACCAGCCCGGGGTCCAGGCGGCAGACACCTGCACCACACTCTGAGTGAGGTCTGGGTTGGAGGGGGTGGAGGGGCGCTGCTCCCCAGCACTCAGCAGAAAGCACTGGGGTCAGGCAGGTGATGGGAAGGAGGGTCTGAGGGTGCTCCCAGCTCCCCAACACTCCTCCCGGTGTTCTCAATGTCTGTCCGGGGACTGACAAGCTTGCAGGTTTCTTCTCAGCAAGTGTTTATTCTCAGCCTGCTCTTGCCCTTCCATCTGCCACAGAATAAAAGCAGGCCTGGGGAATCTCTAACACGCTCGCACCTTGGAACTCTGACTCCGTAAGTGTGTATTTCTGAAGAAGCACAAAGTTAAACTCCCAAGCCTGGCTCAGGTGAGCCTCCCCCTGGATCTTTAGTCTGTGATCAGAGGCCAAAGACTCTCTTTGTCTCTGGAGGTTCCTGCTTAATCATTAAAACAATTATTTTGTTTGTTCTTCGAATAAGTAATCCGTAATTGTCTACACATTCACAGACATGTGAAACTATAGCACGCTCTATGTATTTTCCCTCACCTCACTATTTTTATTTAACAACTACTTTATTTTTCTCTGTTGACTCACATACAACAACTTGATTACTTTCAGCAGCTATGGAACATTTCGCTGCCTGAATATATCATGACCGTTTACTCAGATCCAAACGGAAATTTAGGATTCTATAATCACTGAACGTGGAAACCCACTACAATCCACATCTCTGGTTAAGTTCTATTTCTCCCTTTCACAAGACTGTTTTTAGGGTGTATCCTTGAATGCAGAATTTTTGGGCCAAAGGGAATGTGGTCTAATCACTCTCCATGGAGAGCTGTGATGATTTATGCTCCATAAGCAGCAGATGAGGGGTCCCTGGGCCCTCTACATCCAAGGTGTCACGTTGTTGTTTGTTTTGTTTTTTAATTTTTAAACAGATTTATTTATTTACTCAGAACTGGGGTAGCAGGCCAGCGGTTCAGAGATGATGGGAAGATTCACCAGAGACAGAGTGGGGAGCAGAACAGGTTGAGTGACAACGGACACTGCAGAGGGGAGCAGCGGGTGAGTCATGGGAGGTCTACCACGCCATGTGGGTCACCCCTGGGGCCGGGGCTCAAACTCATACTGAAGCAGCTGCGGCTAGCTTGCAGTGCTGCGTCCTAACCTGTTGCATCACCAGGGAAGGTCTGTTGTTTTAATCTTTGACAAGTCCATCAATGCTCAGCAACAGACATGTTTTCTGCGATTCTCTCACTGAGGCTGGGCCCTTTCGTTTTCTTGGAATTCTCCTGTTCTTTGTTCATTTCTCTACAGAGCGGTTGATTTATTCTTCCAGTTTTCAGGAACTTGTCCTAGGAAACTGATCTTTACCTGTGAGAGGATGGAAGATGGTCCAA